ATGTGCACATGTAAACAGCATCTAGACAACTGTATGTGTACATGCAAACAGCATCTAGACAACTGTATGTGTACATGTAAACATCACCTAGACAACTGTATGTGTACATGCAAACATCACCTAGACAACTGTATGTGTACATGAAAACATCACCTAGACAACTGTATGTGTACATGCAAACAGCATCTAGACAACTGTATGTGTACATGCAAACAGCATCTAGACAACTGTATGTGTACATGCAAACAACATATAGACAACTGTATGTGTACATGTAAACATCACCTAGACAACTGTATATGTGTACATGCAAACAACACCTAGGCAGTTGGATATGCACAGTCATGTAAACAGCTGTATAATAATAATAATATTCAAACATTATAGATTCACCTCCATGTTTGTTTTAGTCATATTGGTTTTTAGTCGGTCGATGTTTTAGTCCACAAACACTCCTGGTTTATCTCACAATTTCATCCAAACTCGCGCATTTCTGCCAATAAGGTCTTAATCATGTGTTTTCAAATTTCATTCAAACTTGGTTCATTTACACTCATCTATAGTTGTCGCCCATTTAAAATAAGGCTGCATTTCTATATGTTTATCATTAATATCAAATCATATATTATCAATATACATAATATATAATGGAATTTATTTTCACTGATTTTTGATGAGTTGAATATAAAAAAAATAGGAAAAAAAGTATTTTCACTGGATTTTATCTTCACTAAGACATTCCTTCAGCGAAAAATAAATTCCATCCCAAAGTAGTTCAGTTTCTAAAACCACAGCCTCAGAAATGAAAAAGTCATTTAAACAGAACTGTAGTATCAATACAATAACCATTGTTACATGTAGTATGTATTATGCAGTAACAGCGAGATGGAAAAATTCTCCAACTCGCTGTTACAAATTTGGAACTAGAAAATTTGACGGAAAAACAAAAGTTTTACAAAAAATTTAAAAATATTGTTTTCAGGAATCAGTTGGGGATTTTTTTCAGACCAAATTAATCATATACGTAATGACCATATACAAATGGTTAATAAATGGATCTTGTAAACCTGTACCCATAAATATACATACCTGTTTCAATACAACACTGGATTCTTAAAATCAGACACTGTGACAATTATTAAATATTACTTGTCTCCTTCTCAGGTTCTTATTTATGTTGTTGATCCAAGTTATACTAACAACCCTCCTGAATTCACTGAAGATGTATATACTGGTGAGGTATATAGTACCGATCCTTTAGGTACTTTTATTGTACAACTGAATGCTACCGATCCAGATTACCCATTGTTGGGATATGGGGATGTATTTTACTATTTTGCTGATCCTGACGACCCGCTTAAAGGTTTGTACCTTTCCATATAAAAATTGTGCTATATCAAAATTAAATTGGAGAATGCGCCTCCACTACATTGCTCTTGAGCATATATTAGAAATACCACAAGATAATTTACAGATTTAAAACAAACAGTTTTTTGGTCAAATCAAGTAATACAAGACCAAACTATGTATATAAACCCCAAAAAAACAAAATTGAAAGATTCAACAAGCTGTATATGTCAACTTAGTACATACATTAGACATTGTTGTTCCCTGATGCACTTCATTTTGTTTTTCAGATTGGATTCAAAATGGCTGACTGGTGGCCATTTTGTTTTAATGAATGTGGTTCTTTCTTTGACTGATTGTGCTCAAATTTTATATATTCATTACACATCATGTCATAGATATAAATATGTATTCGTTTGATCGGTGGTCATTTTGTTTTAATTAATGCTGTTTCAGAGTAATATCTCTCAATATGGACAAGCACTAATTTGACAGTCAGGTACAAGATGACAGTCATTTTAATGTTAAAAAATCTATAATCAAGCATCAACTTCTGGATCCATATCTCTGACATGTTTATC